TCTCTCTCTCTCTCTCTCTTCTCTCTCCTCTCCTCTCTCTTCTGCCCATCTCCCCGTCACCCCTTGCTCCCATACTCCCCCATTTCCCCTCCGTCCTACCTATCTCAGCACGGATAAACTATTGCAGGGGGGCTGTAACCGTAATCACCTGGATAGTAGCACATACCATATGTGCTTTTAGGGATCAGGTTTGTAAATTCACATGCGCTTGTTGCCAAATATATTTTACAAGCCCATGTGCTAACTATTTGTCGGTTTTTATTTGAACATTTTATCCAACGCCCATGTATCTACTGTATCTTGACTTGTTGGGAGATGATGGTTGCTTGTCCTTTGTCATATTTTCTTGCACATGGACTATTTTCCATTGTTTCTTCGTATGTGTGAGATTGAGTTTTCCCTTTCCGTATTTTTCGGCTCTGGATGTGTCGGCGCGTGCTGGGTGGCATCGTCGTGTAGTGCCAATTTGTCGCCAGGGAGGTCTAGCAACACTGCTCATGCCTGGCAAGGTGGGGCTTCGTTCGCGAGGAATTCATGGTTCCTCTCGTCCAACCCCCTTCATCTATTGCGTTTCGTTCACTTTGTCATTTTCGCCCAGCCACCCTGAGTTTGGTCGGAGGGGGGGGGGAGGGGGGGGGGGGGTTTGAGGTTACTATGGAGGAGGCAGTAATTTTGATGCATTGTCAAGGTTCCTGTTGAACTGATCAAGGAGGTCGGCGCTGGTGCAAGTGTAGAGCAGGTCGTCGACATATACCTTCAGCCAGTTGCCACTGAATTGGAGGCGATACATCCCAGGGTCATGGGGGAGTTGCGCGAAGCCGATAGCAATGAGAATGCCATGAAGGTGCTAGCAGACCCAAGGCTTCAGGTGATTTCAAGTGTATGCACTAGCAGCACAGCTCGATAAGAAAATTCCTTACACCATCCCCCACCTTTAGTGAAAGTGATCTATATCAGCCACTTGCTTGTGGGAGAAATTATTCGCAAGTATCAAAAGTTAATGTATTTGATCCGAGAGCACCCACATGTCGTCCTCGCTGGTACAAATAGTCCATCGTATCAGAAAGTCAACATGTCGACCTTGACCGTCAATGCAAATCCGATGGCTCAAGATCTTTTATGGCCCCATAGACGTCTTAGCTAGTGGTCGTACATCTGGGACCATCGCTGTCGAGTGGCGTACGATGTGTCGGGGACAAAGGGTCGCAACAAAATCACATGGAACGAATTGTGAATGTGCCAATCGTCTGGTAGGCATAGTTGGGCGGCCACCAACGTTAGCATCTTCATGATTTTGAACAGTCCATAGTAACATGGTCGTAATTTTGCCGGTAGCGGCAGTCGTTTCTTCATGTCCAGAAGGACTAATTGCCCTGATCCCATAGTAATATCTCATTGACATTGTCTGTGTACCATTGGGCTGTGGTATTAGCATTTTTAATAAGCTCGATAGCTTTGTCCCGCTATGAACAGTTGCAATCTTGGAATCTATCTTTCAGGTTGGTCGAGATAGGAATGGTCGGGTCCATCCTGTAATTGAGGTAGAATGAGGAGTGATCAGTCATTGACGCGGGTGTATTGTTGTAGGAAAATTCTAATATGGGCAATGCGTCCTCCCATTTGTTTCGGTCGGGGCAATTTGACCATATCAGCCATTCCATCGTTTGATTGGTCCGCTCTGTTTGGCCGCATGTTTGCGGATGATGTGCGGATGAGAATTGTAGACGCTAGCCGTACCAAGCCCACGTCTCTTGCTAGAACTTTGGGTCTCGAGATGAACAGCTGCGCGGTTTCGTTGGTTGTGATTGTCGTGTGACATGGTGCAAAATGCGCCAACAATGCATCGTTTCCGCTTGGTTCGGCTGGCAGTCCTCTAACAAAATCCAACGGCATGTACTGCCATGGTCGATGGGGTGGCTCAAGGGGTTGCAACAGCCCGTTGGTCGCTGGCGTGATGATTTCATGCGCTGACAGGTTGGACATGCGGCGTATTGCTACATGTCCGTCGCCATAGCTTGTCAGTAATGAAACCGCTGCAACGCCTTCAGGGTTTTATCAATCTCAAAATGTCCCGCTAATTCCAAATCATTCTCTTCTTGAATTTTTAGTTCGGGAAGTAGACGATCATTCGGAACTCTTACTCGATCCGTCCCGCTTCCTACGTAATAGACGCCTCTTCGAGAAGTGGCTTGAATATGGTCGTCATTTACTAAGAAGGGGTCTGTAAGAGGATGAGGCTTGTCGAATCGTTGAGCACGTCTATTTGCATATATGTTATTTATTGTGTATTATTTTGTGTGATTTTTCTTTTCTGGAAATCCCTGCACTCTTTAATACACATTGATATATATCATATGTGTTAGTGTTTTGGAATTTCCTTGCGTGACACGTTTTCTATTGCATGGAGAGTTCTGTCACCATCACCGTATCTCTAGAATCCCTACCATGCTTCTAGGTGGTGTTCCTACGGACGGTTCCACTCATTTCTAGAACTCTCTTAGAAGGTCCTAGTTAACCTTCCTTATAGTTCTCATAGGTATAAATAGGATTGTGTCTTTGCTTGTATTCAGGCAATTCTTAATTAGTCATTCATTCAAGCTCCCGCTAAATCCTGGACCTGCGACAGGGTCATTTGAATATTCGTGGGCAAATAGTCCACTCAGTAGTCGGTTGCTCTGGGCGACTAGTACTACTTCGAGTTCGGCAGTGTTACACTACAAAAATAGTGCCTACAACATCGTCGACTCCCTCTCCAGGTTCTCTGCCCAACTTGCAGCAGTACTAGTCGCCTAGAGCAACCGACTACTCAGTGGGCCTTCGAACCTACGATGGGCCCTGGTGGTGTTATGAAGCGCAAAGAGTGTGTGTCGAATAATTGAGTAGCGAGGAAACAATACGATAAGGCAACATCAAATCACCAGGGATCCTGGATATAACTAGGCCTAGAGCACATGGTCAAGGCTTGTTAGAGCTGAGACGTGTGGTTTGTAGATTGGCACAAAACGCTCAGATCTAGGCATGAAACAGCAAGGTGGGCAAATTGCAAGTGGCTCGTCAGGAGACCACATTTGGATGCCGCGGTTTGAATTTCGTGGCAAAGCTGCGCGACAACCCCATTATAGTAGTGTACGCCTTAGAAACTAAAACACGGGATAAGGAAATACCATTTCCTTACACTCTCCCTCCTCCAAGGTATGGTCTTAGCTAAGACCACCGACGTCGCGCACATTGCGTAACTGGAGGTAGACTCGTAGCACATGGTAATTCTCCATCTGTGCCAGGGGCACCCAATTGTTTTTCCAAGGACGTCCGGTCTTTCTAGGATACCAGAAACTCGATCACGCGAGCTTCTCGAGGGTCCTTATTCCGATGGCTGAGAATCTTCGTAAGTTCGATGGTTGGTTCGGCGAGCGGCCAAATGTTCGGGTTGGCTCTGTAACGTGGTAGTCTACTGGTGCTGGCAATATATGGTCACAACAAATACACGTGGAATGATGGGCTGACGTTCCAGATGGCAGGTAACAATAGATGGGCAGTGACGGAGGATATCATGTGACTGATTGTAAATGGTCCACAGTAGCGGGGGCATAGTTTCGGGACTATGGGCAATCGAAGGTTCTGAGTTTCGAGTGGTACTAAGTCTCCTACGTGGTACGTCACGGCTCGTCGGTGTAAATCCGCGTTGTATTTGGAAATAACATTCGAGCGCTTGATGGCTTCGTTTGCTCGCTCATGGACATTCTATAATATTTATGCAAACTGTTGGGCTCGGGGAACAAGATTCTCGATGTTGGGCGTGATGGGCACAGTAGGGTTTTGTCCATAGTTCGTGTAGAATGGTGACTGTCTGGTAGTGGCTGACGTGGCATTGTTATTTTCAAACTCGATCAGTGGCAGTTGCCGCTCCCAGACCGCCACGCCATCGCATGTGGTGCAAATCAGTTGCTCCATCACCTAATTGGTCTGTTTGGTCTATCACTCAGCCCTAGGATGATAGGCAGAGGAGGATTTGTTGCGCGTGCCAAACGGGTCCCAAAGGTTACGCCAGAAGTTACTGGGGAATTTCGTGTCATGATCGGAAATGATGGCGGATGGGATTCCAAGGAATTGAATGAAGGTCCGATGAAGAGGCGTGCGGTTTTTTCGGCTGAGATACTTTTCTTGCAGACGGAAAAGTGTGCCATCTTCGTCAGCTTGCCGACGACGACAAATATGGTATCATTGCAGCCATCCTTGGCAGGCAGTCCCGTAACGAAATCCATCGTCACCTACTGTCATGTACGCTCGGGCGGCGGAATCGGCTGTAGCTATGTAGTTGGCTTTTGCCTCGACGACTTCATGGTTTGTCAGGTTCTCCACGAAGCCACATGCCGCTTCACGTCTCCTTGCATGTCGGGCCAGAAATAATTTCGGGTCAACTGTTGTCGCATTTTCTCCACTCCGAAGTGCCCTGAAACTGTACTATCATGAGCTTGCTGAAGTAATAACCCCCGTAATTGGCCGTACTCTGGTACCCAGATGCGGTCAATCCTTGTCTTTATATAATAGAATTCCTTAGCCGCTGCTAGCCATTCGTACGCACCCGATGTAAAGAATCTGTCCGTCTGGTACTCGAGGGTAAAGAGCGGGAAGGTTTCGGCGAAGATGGTTGAGTTGAGATGGGCTGATGGACGAGAAAGGGGGATTGCAATTTTTTATGCCCTCTTTTTGTAGGTGGCAATGTAGTGGAAATTGGATTCCATAAAATCCAACCACCGAAACTCTCGCGGGTTGAGCAGTGGCTGTGCACGAATGTACTGTAGTCTGCGATGGTCTGTCCATACTATCACGTCCGTGCCCGTCAGGGAGCACCGCCACACTTTGAACGCGTGCACGATCGCGAGCATCTACTTGACGTATATCGGATAATTTCACTCGGGCGGGTGTAAATCTCATGACTCGTACGCGATTGGTTGCAGACCCTCACCGAAGTCCTATAACAGTAGTGCTCCGATGGCGATGTTGCTGGCACCATTGATGACTTCGAACGGACGGTAAGGATTGGCGATGCGAAGGACAGGGGCTGAGCACATAATTTTTTTGAGTGCGGAGAAGGCAGCTTGCTCTTTCTCCCCCCCACCTATACTCAATCCCTTTTCGCAGCAAGTCAGTCAACGATGGAGTCCCCCTGAACATAATTCACGAACTTTGAAAAAATTGCAGCTCCTGCAAGTTCGAATGCGGTAGTCAAGCTTGCATTGTCTCGATTTGCACGGGTCCACTTCGACGCCCTTAGTGGTAATGGCTTGCCCTAAGAATTCTAACATTTGTTTCAAGAATTCGCACTTAGACCCCTTCGTGAGCAGCCGATGCTCCTGCAGTAGCGTGAAAACTGCTTCGCGTGTTGTACTCGGACATGAGTCTGGGTAGTCTTATGAAGCGCAAAGAGCGTGCGTCGAATAAATGAGTAGCGAGGAAACAATACAACGAAGCGCAACATGCAATAGGACGTGCAGCGACACGTCATTTCCACAAAGGGCGTCCAAGTGGACCCGCGCAATTTCGTGACAGTGCAAGCCTGGCCACCGCCTTCCTTACTGTACATGCGTTAGAAGACTAGGATAGGAGGAAATGATGGAAGCCATGGAATGGCATGAGGGTTTAGGAGCTAGGAATTAGGAGGGAAAGTTAACGAGAGAAAAGAGAGGGGAGACTAGGAAGAGAGAGGCATACAAGGAGGGAGTTGTACCCCTTACAGTAGAGTTCGGTAACCTACCAAGCCTACCAATAATATAACACAATATATAATTTAACAACATGAGCCCGGAAAGTGTTATGAAGCGCAAAGAACGTGTGTCAAATAATTGAGTAGCGAGGAAACAAAACAATGAGGCAACATCAAGACAACATGGATCCCGCATATAGCTAGGCCTAGAGCACACGGTCGATCCTCGGGAGAAAACGGGTGAGTGAGGAAAGTGCTTCTGATAACTAGGTGTTAGTACATATCATATTCTACTAGTGAAAGCTCCGCGAATATAGGAAACTGCACCTAGCGAATACCCTTGTCCGACTTTGAGCTTAGGGAGAATTCATTCGAGCATTGCGAACACCAACTTCGTTTCGGCGGCACTGTAACCCTAAACACGCCAAGCATTTGTCACACCAACGCACTAAAGGAGACGCTTAGAGTTATTGCCCTGTTGTACTGCTGATGCAGCGAACTGTGTCGAGCTGGCTTGGGATGGTTGTGCAACAAACGGCCAGCCGGCCACGTGCCGTGAAGTGGCGGTGGGCAAGTGTCAGGTCACATGGCTGATCAGCTGAGGGGCATCCCTCGCACCGTCAGCTGCTCGTTCTTCTTCGTCTGCGACATCAGCTAACATCCCCCTAAGCTTGCTATCTACTAAGCACCTTGCATCCCCGTGAGCTGCGTTGTTCAACAATCAAACCTTCCGTGTTTGTTTCCAACTGAACAAGCACCTCATTCGCTGACGCCCTTCGTTTCTGGCAAGCTCTCCCCGATTTAGCAGGTGCATGCTTGCGCGTCGCCAGCTTGCTGGCCGTTATGAATCACAGCGCAGTGTGGAAGCCACGCCACCCTTCGTCTGGTTGGCGCTTGACGCAGTATGCAAGAACAGACTGTTCTTGGGCGGATAGAAGGGGCACCTACTTTATATCCAAGCTAGGTAGTGCCTAGTTATGCATAAGACAAACGCAGAGCTCGGTTTCATGCTCCCTAACATACAAACTGCACGACCTTGGGATGCCATTTCTTGTAAACGACTTTCCACCGTCAAGGAATTTGTTTCTGCGATTCTGAGCCTAAACCCGAAGCTTCAGCAGTCCTCTGAGCTTCCGTTTTTGCCTACAAGTTTGACCAGGTAATATTATCATTTCCTCATATTTTTCCTTTTTGGTTCCTATGGATGAACTAACGGAGTCTTCCCAGCCGAGAATCGCGAGCGATGGTGACAGCAGTCCGATTCCGTATGGGTGCATGATCTGGTGGCGGGCGAGTGCGAAACCAGCCATGGCTCGCAGGCCGAATGCGAAAACAGCGCGACGTCGCGCGACTGTGTCGCTCGACATGGATTCGGAATGGGGTCTGTCGCACGAATCGACTCAGCTCGAATCGCCACCAAGCCTGCGACGCGGCCGATCATCGGACTACGACGCCCCGAGGAGCTGCTTGTTGTGGCCTACGACTCCCCGCCCCCCTGCGAACCGCCACGTGTCGTTCTACGCGTTGGTTCGCGTGCGTGAAATTCCTCGCCGCGAGATTCCCGCCGCCACCACCACCGCCGCTGCCACAGAAGGTCCACCTGCCGCGTCAGCTACGACCGGCGCGGCTGATTTCGCCTCCCAGGAGTCCTTCCCGTTGCCACCCGCCATCGACAGCAATACCGGCCGCTCTCGGCGACGGGATTCGCCATTTATCGGCACACGCAGGGACATGCGAGAACCAACGTGGGATTACGAAAGCGTGGAACACGAGACGGACGAGGCGCGTTCGCTGCGGCGTGAAAGATTATGGTCAGGTTCGGGGGAGGGAGTGCACTGCCTCGCGGCAGGAGGCGATTAGTGGATGAGTATCGTACTCCCACAGCACTTCTGCAGAGATAAAAGGCTCATTTCAGGGCATGAAGACCCCACACGAGCTGCATACTTGATTTTGGTTTCCGATTGTTAGTTTCTGAATGCAATTTTACAAATTAAATAGCTCGCTCAGTTATTTTGGGCCGAAGGATAATAAGTCGGCATTCAGTTTTTCCGTATTGTAAGGTATTTCCTGATCACGGGTTTTTGTCAGTAAGGCGTACACTGCTAGAAAGGGTTGCCGCGCAGTTCTTCCACGAAATTCAAATCGCGGTCCCAAATGTGGTCTCCTTACGAGCTCCACGTTTTGTTGCCCACCTTACTGTTGTGTTGGAAATATCTCGAGGACTTCAGCATCTCTGAAGTGTAATGTTTGAAATATCTCAATGACTTAAGCGTTTCTGAAGTGTAACACCACACTCGAGGAAGATCGTAACGAGTACACGAGTCAACGGAGGTTACACAAGGGGATGGACAAAGAACAGGAAAGGACTCGAAGGGTCGCAACCGGAGGTTGCGACTGATCGTTACAACTGCAAGAATGGTAACCGAAGCGACAATCTAGTCGCTGTGCGACTCGATAACCGCCATTCAACTGTATTCTACAACTGCTTGTTTCCTACTTTCTATATATTGCTGTATGCTTGTTCTCCTTAATCAATCACTTGTTCTCATATACTAGTACAAAGGTTCAACTACCTCAACTTCCGCTGCACTACTCAAGTTTCTTTTACAACTGGGACTTAGTCTCTGGAAAGATCCTAAAGGCATTTCTCAGCCCAACATGGTATCAGAGCTGGTCAGAGACCAAACTCCCAGCAACTACGCTCTATCTACAATCAGCACACCAACGACTTCATTGATTACAAGTCATGGACAACAAGGGCAAGAAAACCTCTACGGGCTCACCCAGTGCCGAAGATACTCAACCCGGCAACTCTGGACTGAACACTTCAGGACTGCAAACCGAGACCGGCGCTGCTCAAGAAACAACAGGAAGAGCATCAGAAATGGTGACCCCATCACCCTCTTCAAGCGTGGACCCGAATCTTATGGAAAGGTTCTTCAGCTTCATGTCACACTTCGACTAGTAGCAGCAGACAACGACACCTGCGCATTCAACACAAAGCAACGGAGGAAACATGGGATAAGCGCCGATGAGTCTCGACAACTCATCATTCGGGCGACATAATCAAGCGCCTACCTTTGCACCTTATCACTCTTCACCGGGGACGTTCGAGTTCATGCCGCCCCGTGCCCAACCAACAGCAGCTGCATCACAACAGACACCAAACGAGATTTTAAGTCTCTAGGCGCAGTTTTCATACGTGATTAAACTGCAGACATCCTCACCATTCAACGGACATGATATCTTTACCAGGAGTTTTGAGTTCGAGCTGCTGATGGAGGCTGCGCATCTCTTGGGATACTTCAACGGGTCCCTGCCATTCCTAAACAACGGCACTGCAAAAGAACAAGAAATCTTCACGTATCAGTCGCTGCTGGCGTACACAGTTCTCCTATGGAACCTGTCACCACAAGAACAGCAAAGCATCAGAACGTATCGGAGCTACGGAAACTCCGCGGAACTCGCATGGCATCACCTCAAGTGCCTCTATTAAGCAAATGACAGCGTGACACAAAGCAGACTCATGCAGCAGCTGACAACAATACAGATGAAGACCGGGGAAAAAGCGATGCAGTATATGAGTTGATGCCAGACACTCCGCGACCGCCTGCTTCGGTGCGGAGGAACAATCACTGAAGAAAGCTTCGTGACGCTTGTCCTCGCTGGGCTCGGGCCAGAATGGCGAACCACCCGCTCGCTCCTTCGCGCCCACGGACGAATCTCGGAGATGCACCTTTGCGCCGAGCTCCATGCTGAACAACAGGAGATGGACCTGTTTGAAGAAAGACAACCAAGGAAACAACAACCATTAGTCTTCTACACTCAACGAAGACACGACAACAACTACAACCGACGCGGCAGGCAAGATCAATGCGACAACAGAGGACTCACCATTGTACCGCCGTTCTGCCACAACTGCCAAACATCCGGACACTCCAAAGTCAACTGCACACGTCCCCGAGCTTATCGTCCAGTCGACCCACTAGTCGCTTCCACTCAAGAAATTCCGCCGAGGCGCTCTTCCACATCTGCACAAAATACACCGAATATCATCAACTGCATGGTACACATCGACAACTGCGCAACCGGATCACCGCCAACTTACGCTCCCGATGAAGAAGAACTGTCGCCGCTGCGCTCACAGGGACTTCCGATCAACCCAACGTACGCTGCAGTCCCGAACTCCGAACCCACCGGACGCAACACTTGGTTCTTGGACAGCTGTTGTGGGCAACACATGTGTTCTTCCGGGCGTTTTGCGCAACGAGAACGACGTCTCAACCAAGACGTCATCATCACCGTCGCCAACAACGAGAACCTGAAGACAAACAGACAAGGAGTGGTTCAGTTACAATCCATGGAGACAAACGTTATACTGCAACTCAACAAGGTCCTCATCGTCAACAACTTGGGATACAACTTACTGAGCGTCAGCCAGTTAATGGCAAAAGGAATTCACCTGGAGTGCGACTAGGACTCCAACGAATTTTGCTTATACCACGGGAAGGGCGGTCTCTTCATCGGTCGCGCTCTACTGAAGTCCGGCGTCTTCGTGTTGGACTTCGTCCCCGACCGCGGAACCGCCGATAGCGATGGCATCGTGTCATTCGCCGCATGGACGCACCCACCGGATCTTGACCCCGACTTCAACCAAGATGGATACTGGTACTCCAACACCATATCTGCAGCAGAGAGAACACGTGCGTTAGCAGTCATTCGACAAGAAAGACAAGTACCGGCAAGCGTCTCTTCATCGACATCACCTGAAATCACAGCAGCAGGACCCAGCCGAGTATCACCACCAACAATCCGAGGACCGCCAATCGAAGCAGATCAACTCATGCCCACCACACGCAAAGTCTGCCGAAGTCCCGCCACCGTTGTCGCGTTCTTCTCCAACACCGACATGTATCACAGATCGTCCGGTCATCGAGCTCCCGACGACATATGGCATCAACGTCTTGGGCATCCTGCAAATAGCACGGTACTACAAACCATCCAAGCCGAGGTGTTAGAACGAAACGCTCTCCTTACAACAAGCGGACAGGAACTTCGACGACCTCGCGCACGGTGCTTCACATGCCCTGAAGCAGATCTTCAACACCAACCTTTTCCGTCACATCACAATCCAAGCGCACCTGCATACGCACCGATGGAAAAGGTTTACAGCGACATCTTAAACATGCCTCGAGACGACACTGAAGCCGACTTCAACTATGTCATAACGTTCATCGATGCAGCAGCAAGATATGTTTGGCACTACAACCTCAAGACGAGAGACCAAGCCTTCGAAGCCTTCAAGACGTGGCTTCCCATCGCTGAACGAAGCTCAAAAGCTTCCAGTCAGACGGCGCACTGGAATACCAGTCACAACGCTTCAGGACCTACTTGGCGGAAAGAGGAATCAGACGCTTGGTGTCTCTGCCCTACGCTCACCAGCAGCAAGGGGTCGCAGAACGAATGAACCGAACCTTGCAGACGACGATGCGAAAGCTGCTCCTGGGGATGAGACTGCCCAACACACTGTGGCCAGACGTGATGACACATGCAGTCCACCTGCACAATCTGTTGTTCTCGTCATCGCTTCCCAACAACGCATCACCGCACCTGCTGTGGACACGAAAAAGGGGCAGCACAAAATTGCTTCGAGTTTTCGGCTGCATGGTACAGTACAGACCCCACACAGCCCGAGCAGGACGCTTCACTCAACGAGCACGGTGGGGACTACACCTCGGCATCGCAAAACATTTTCACGCATGGAAAATCCTGGACATACAAGACAAAAATACGGTGGCATCACGTGATGTTATCTTCTACGAGCGACTGACGTTGCAGCATTACCTGGACAACATTGCCAACACACACGACCCCACCGACGGCCTCGCGGGCCTTCGTTCCTTTGCTGACCGTGCTGCCGAGGCTGACGCAGCAGAAGAAGACGTACCTGGAGCCTCGGAAGCTGCCGGACCACTCCCTTTCTGTTCCGTACCTGTTCCACTCGACGAAGACAATCCTCTCGATAGCAACAACCTCGACACCCTCTACCACTTCGCTGACCAAGGTTACGCTACACCTCACCCGGTCGACACGAATATCTCAGAACGCATCGGCCCCAACTTCTTACCTGATCCAGAAGATGGTGACGAAGCAGCCTATTACGGGAATGAAAATTCTCCTCGACACACACCCACGGGACTGCAAATCCTCGGCTTATGGGTCTCCGTCCAGCACCTGCCGCCGCCATCTCCGCGCGAGCCAACGACTCTGTCGCAGGCTCTGGGGGGGGAACATAAGGCAAAATGGAAGGAGGCAATGGAAAAGGAACTGAAAGCTCTGCAAGACCGAAATACATGGAAGCTGGTACCTGCAACGAACGTCAACGGGAAGAACGTTCTCTCGGGAAAATGGGTGTACCGCATCAAGACCAATGCGGACGGCTCCATCGAACGATACAAGGCTCGCTGGGTCGTACGAGGATTTGATCAACGATACGGAACCGACTACACAGAAACATTCGCCCCAGTCTCTCGTCACACCTCCTTGCGCATCCTACTCACCGTCGCGGCCACAAAGAAACTACCACTACGCCAGATCAACGTCGCAAATGCCTTCCTGTACGCACCTGTGGACGCCGAAATCTTCGTCGAGCAGCCCCACGGATTCATCGACGACCCCACAAAAGTATGCCAGCTGATAAAATCCCTTTACGGGATCAAGCAAGCCCCGCGGCTCTGGCAGCAGCATCTTCACGGTCGCCTCGTCAGAATCGGATTCCTACAGCTGCCGCATGACCAAGGCATATACCGACTGCAGAAGGGAAGAGAGTATATCCTACTCATCGTTTACGTCGACGACCTGCTCTACATAGGTTTCACTACCGACATCGCCACCTGGTTCGAAGGGGAGCTGAAAGGGGACTTGACACTCACGGTGTCCGACACAGTGACCCAGTACCTGGGTCTGAATGTTGTCGAAGACAACTCAGCGTTCTACCTATACACTGGAAAGTACGCAGGCGTTGTCGCAAAGAAGTTCGGTCTAAC